GTAGCAGGGCACGCCATTGCGTTGTGATCATTTCCTGAAAAATACGACCCCCCCTAATTCCATCTTCAAGTACGACCCCCTCCCCACGTTACCTCTTCCCTAGATTTTTCCAACCTCCTACCACTTTGTCTATTTTTTCCCAAAAAGTTTCTGGTTTTTTTACAAAATTTTGCTGTCTCGAGGGGGGGGGATGGGGGGGAGAGGTCGCAGTACCTACGTACGTCCCAAGCACGTCCAGCACTCTGGCGCTGGTGTAGCATACTGACAATACGTACGAGGAAGGGGCGATGATAGGAGCTACGATCACCGCCCACAAGGGCCCCATGAATTTATAAACAAACAAGAGGACTCACGACGTGACGATTAATAAACAGATGAAAGTACATTCCCGGACTTTTCTGATCGTAGGAGCACATTTGCTTGCAATTGGGAAGCCCTATCTAGAAGTTACACCTTTCAAACACCTGCGTGAAAGCCCCATGCATGGCGCATTGCATATGTGATGCCAATTGGCGCCCAATGGCCTATTACCTGATATGCTTGACGAAAACATGTGTTTCAGAAGCATACCAAAGTCTTCGAGCCAACTGGAGGTTTCCTGGCCTCGGAGGGGTTGATTTTTCGGTGTCGTGGGGGGTGATTACAAAATGATCACAACGGGGAATTTTTTCGAATAGTAGGTCTAGGAAGGAAATTAAAACCTTGCTGGAAAGTAGAAATCTTCAAGCTTCCGGCACAGTTCTTTTTCACGAAAGGTCGTGTATGAAGCTTGCCATGGACGTCCAAAGCGTAGCGACTCGCGGTTCGCAAAAATGATCACAGACGGATCACAAAGATGATCACAACGGGGAAAATCTCTGGAATCGGAACGTTTTTGAAATCGCTCAATTCAGGTGATAAGAGCCAACCTAGCTCTACTCATTCCCACTTACCCCTCTCCGATAGCTTCACTTTCAACGAAGTTATGGGTGTTCAAATGAGGGGTACTTTTCACGTGTTTGGCTTGAAATTGGCTCCAAACCGTAAAATAGCGCGCACCAATGCGCTTGTATGAGCGCGCTGACCGCGAACAGCCAAAATTCAAAAGTAATCCATAGTTCCGGTTCCCAGCTGAGCGGTGAGTTTTTTCTTATCCATTTTGTTGAGTTTAATTTTGTTTTGTTGAGTTTGATTTTGTTGTGAGGAAATTGCTCAGGATTCAATTTCTACGGTTTCATAGGTAGCTTTTGCAATGGATTCTTTTCTAGATTTTGCGGATTAGTGGATTGGGATTTATCTAGACCAGATGAGGAGGGTTGGGCGAAGTGTCTGAAGTTTTTTTGTGAGGAAGGAGGAAAAAGTTTCAGCAATATTTTTTTTTAGTTCTTGGCCTAGGAATAGTTCGATAGTGCCTAGTTCTATTTATTGTCATCTACATCGTCCCTTTTGAGCTTCTTTTTCTGTACTTGTATCACCGCTCTCTCCACTTCTGGGCATTGCGTTACGACCCCCCCCCCCTCATGCGGCAAATACGACCCCCCCGTTGTGGATGATCAGCAAAGATGCGTGCTTGATTGTGAGCCGCGCCGACTCAGGGTGGAATCAAGCATTCTGGTGGGATGACTCATGACTGTACTTTCAGGGCGTGACGGCGAAGCGAGGACGAGCTGGCATCTCAAGGAGAGTCGATCATCTGCCGATCTCGGGGACGCTCGATTTCTCTTCAGTGCTCTGTCAGGGCGATAGCGCTGCCTGTCACCCAGATTTTGGATCTCCTGTTGTCTGTGTCATGGTCGTGGCCTATTTAGCCTATGAATGCGGAGTTTGCTTTAATTATATCTTTGTAATTGCCTGTATCACTGATCTAATATGCTCATTGATTCTGAGGATAACTTTAGTGAGCGGAGAATTCGTTTCGGACAGAGCAGGAAATGCAGCTTCGCGGTCGCGCTCGCTTACTGTATTAGCGTATGGATCTGCGAATACGTCGTTCAGCGTACAGCGGGCGTTTTGCATTCTGCTGAAGATCAAAAGTGTCCGCGAAAAACGCTGTTGTACGCTGGCGTTCGTTAGATCGATACCTATACTTCCCAGTCGCTGGTGCTGGCGTTCACTCGTACGCTGCCGTACGCTGGTGGACGCTGTCGAAATTGCTGTCACTAAATGGCACCTTCCTATGAGGATACGGTTTGTGATTTGTCCGACCAAAGCAGCTCTGCAAACGGTTTTGAACCGTCTGTTATGCTGCAGTTGGTCGGCCCCAGTTACTTACCAAGGCCATGTGAGAAGTAGTTCACAGAATCGTTTTCTAGGGCGTCGCTGTTACACTACTTCGTGTTGCTTAAAATCACGATGCATTTTCCAAGTACATTCTTAATAGGCCAGTCCAAGGAATCAACTCAAAACACAGACGTAGCAGTCACATGAAAGGCGCATGTGGTCTTAAAGACATACTGTACCACAGCCTTGGAGGTGAATCTTCCCCATCTGTGAGTTGGGCAGGTCCGCAACCGTGAAAAGTGCACATTTCCTACTCGGAAAGTGCCGCAAATGTCGAGGTCGTGCCGCCTATGTTGTTGTAATGCTTGATGTCATTCTACGTTTGCTACATTTTCGCGATTGCGGCATACCAACATTGTGCAGTGTACTACAAACGTGCGCTGCATCGCTTCTTGGCTGCACGACCATGGTTCGACAGGTGAAGGTGCTTTGGCACGCTTCCGAAAAAGAAGCCTGTATAGAAACGGGGGGACCCCCCCCCATGAGAGAATTCGGTAAGTGGGAGTTAGCGCCTGTGGCCATGGTTTTGTTTGGCGGCCGTATGGCGTGCTGCGTGTTGGTGGTCGTACCGAACGGTGGAGAAGATATGGCGATTACCGAGCTTTTGAGTGGCGCAAGTGGTACAATTTCACAATCAAGACCTGTACATCCGATGTAAGGGAAAGATCCACTTTGCAGGCATATTTACGTGATTACAGTGTGTCTTTAGAGTAATCTGATGCTGCCCAGAAAGTCCGAGTTACAAGCATCGCATCACATCACAGATGTCAGAGCTTACCTCGATTCTGCAGTATTCCTTCGCGTACATGGCGAACAGTACGACGAAACTGGCGCCGTCGAGTTCGCCACTGTCTGAGGGCCAAGCATGTCCAAGTTTAACACTTCACCGTCTGGCAGTGATGTTGACCTATAAATCGAAGAGGAAACATCTGTGAGCTCTCAATAGCGCTATCAATTTCCTGCGGTGCCTGAACAGCCCAAAAACTTTTAAAAGGCAAACCTCTTCCTCAACGCCACATCATTGTCCGTAGGGAACGATGCACGGCCTGCATGCTGACTGCAATTCCTCGTCGATGAGAATGGTGGCCATCGAGTACTGCGACTAAAATAATCCGTAATGGGGACTGCTAAGGGTAAAGAGGTAAAAACGACAGTCTTGTCAATGAAGCTTAGATTTTTCTGACGGCGCCAAGTTGTTACCTTTGATGAGTGCACGAAACCCTTGGAACTGAGACACCTGGCGATTCCTCTTCATTCACACTTGGCAGTTCTTTGTACGAGTTTCCCATCGATACGACTCCACCATTCATAGCCGAGAAAAATGCACTCGTTTGTGAGTCGTTCGTCTGAGAAAAAGAGACTGTCAACAGCGGCAATGACCCCAATTTGAAACTCATTTATACTACCTGAGCAGGTTGACGTACAGTGCCTATGAATCTTTTAAGGAAGGACTGATCTTTCTGTGCAGAAAGCGAAATTGTGGAGTCGCGATTGAGCGCTGAAAAATAATGTGAAAAGAAAAAGACTCACTAAGAATCGCAGAGGCTTCCTTTCGAGCTGGTCAGAAGGAATCACTAACCAAATCCAGAGCCTCTCATCGTTCGGAAGGTGGAATTCCGTGGGAATATCTCCGGTGCTAGGCTCGGTTCCTCTTCACGTGACTCTTCATCATCCGAAAACTCGTAACCCTCCGCATCCAGCAACCAGTACGTTGTCATTGGACCTTTGCCCTGGAAAACAATTAATAAATTCAGCTACTGGAGCAAGCTGTAACAGGAATTCACCTTTATTGTGAGAGTTCCTCTCTCTTCGAGAACAAAACCGGGTATTGCCGAAAGGACATCTCGCGTTGGTTGAGAGCAATGGATTTTAAGCGCTGAACACAGCCAATTTCAATAATAACCGTAAATTGGAAGAATACTGAGTGATTCGCTTACGTTCTCCATTGCTCT